GAAAAAAAAAATCAAAGTAATCTGTGTGTTGCATTTAAAGTGCTATAGTTAGAAATACTGACTTTTTTTTTCGTGTACTGTACTGCATTGCATTGTACTGCATTGTACTGTAATATCTCTTTCTTGTATCTATTCCGTGTTGCAAAACAAATCCTTGCTTCTAATTTCTCATGTTTCTTTCTTCCTCAGTGCAAAAGCTGCATATATTTGCCTGACAAGAGCAGCAAGACTATCACTAATATGTGGTGTGCTTATATAAACAATAGCTGATTTTCTGTATTTATCTCTCTATTAATCCAGTACTGAAATCTGGAAGGATTCCCTCAGCAGTATTTTGCTTCTTTGCTATGAACTTAGAAAAGAACCTGTCCTTCTTCCTCTGTGTCAGTGCCAGTGCTGTAAAAAACAAATCAAAGCCAGTGCAAGGAAGAGTCTGAATTCACTTTCTGCACATCATCAACTAGCCAGTTCCATAGGAACTAGATTTCAGAATGACCCTATGCACAAAATCCTCAATTTTCTAATCACAGACACAAGCCAATATTACCTAAACCCTGAATGTTGATGCCAAACAAAAATGAAAATTAATGCATTAATTTTATTGCCAGTAAAGGGGCTTGCCAATAAGAACTCTTAATACAATCTTACATGATCAAGGAGGAAAAGCAGAAGGATGGAAAAGGGAAGAGCAGCAGGAAGCAATAAATGACGAACTGTGTCTATACCGATAGCTGAAGACTGAGCAAGACCTGAATATTTAACCTTAATGGCTGAACATATAAATCAAGGATTATTTTATTTGCTAATTTACCCAAATACAGATATACAGCCTGAAAGATGCAAGCCTGCACTTCGATTTACTGAGCTGTTACTTGGAATTAACCCAGACATGATTCTTACGCTTTGCTTTTGCTTTCCTATGATTATTTGCGTATTTTTATTTCCTCTCTGCCCTCCAGCCCCATTTTGTTTCGAGCGTTACTCACTAAGCCAAGGAGAGGTTAATAAGTCTTTGTCCGCACAGCTGAAAATAGGATGTGAAGTAAGTCTAAACAGAACACAGATTTTTAGCCTGAGTCATGACCCGCGTTTAAGCACCTGCTTTGAGGACTGTCTGTCTGCCGTGCAGGATGAAAATCAAACCTAGGGGTTTCGAGCAGCAGCTACAGAGGCCAAGTGGAGCCGCAGGCCAGCCAAACATTTCAGAATAAAGTTAGTGCAGAAACAGACCTTCTTATCCAATTAAGACAGCAAAAAGCATTATAAATATGCAATAACTTCCTATTAATGAGCTAGCACTAATATCCTGGGTTTAATGCAGTCAGATATTACAGCTATTCAAAAGTGCAGTACAAGCATGAGCAGAGTATTATTAATCCGTCAGAGCTGTGCTGGGATTGTACTGGCAGAGCGCTCTGTTTACGGTGTAGGTGGAACAAGGTCAGCTGTTTGCATAGAAATGTATTTTTAGGAAATATATCAAGATCACTTTGATTTTACAAAACACTTATTAAGTAAATTATGTTGACTAACGTTAAGTTTAATCTTTGTATAGTTATTATCGTTACTCTGACATTTAGAGCCTCAGCCCAAAAGCTGTTGCTGTCTTGAATTGCCATACTCACGCAGAAGCTAGAACTTGCTTAACGTGAATATGTGGCAGACTCTGAAAAAAAAAAAGGAATATTGCTAGCCTGTAGACAAGGACCCAGATGGAAAAAGCAGTGAGAGGAAGGAAAGACTAAAAAAGTCTTAAAAATACTTTAAATTAGATTTCATTTTCAAAACTTTAAGTTCCATTTTATCTGCTTCATTTTACCAGCTTAACATGTTGGAATTAAGGTGATGGAATACATTTAAAATGAAAAATGTAAAAGCTGAGGTTGGGGTCTTTTTTTCTCTCTTTGGCAAACAGTTTAAAAATTCTGCAGATTAAAGATAAATTGGGAAAGATAGTAGAGAAGAACCAATTAAGATATAATGACTTACACACACTGCAGTTATTGAGAAACAACTGTACTGTGATTATGCAGATTAGCCTCTCAAAACCAAAATGCAGGGATTTACATAACTGAGAAAAAAATTCTTCACAGTTATGCTTCAGTAACCTTATAGGATTCTTGCTCTTTAATTGTATGAGTCATTGCTACAAAACGATCCCAATTCCTTTGGTTCCTAGAGTAGATACGTAGTAGGACATCACTGTTCCCAATGATCTACGTGTTTTCCCAAGTCTACACTCTTCTGACCCAAAATCCAACATGTGTTCTTCTTTAGAAAGAAGCAAAACAATGGAATATCAGAAATTCTGCTTGTATCAATCAATATTTTAACAGGTTTACATACATCATCACTACTGTTAGATATACACACTACTACAAATGGCATCTCTGCTTTTTTTGAAACTCCCTCATTTTTTAAAAATCATCTGTTTTTAATAAAAATAAGGCTTCTGTGGTACATACTCTAAAGGAGAAAATATCAGTGCTATTTTAACTGTACAGACCCTATTTTGGATTTTTGTAAAGAGAAATGTTAATAGGGATCCTGACATTTTTAGTTAGCTAAGTATGTCTAGCGTATTTAACTTGTGGCCTTTATACGTTCTACAAAATATATCGTTTTTAAAAGATGACTATTCTATTTTAATCCACACAGAAGGAGCAGCATCTATTCAGTTGGATATAGCATGATGTACCTCTATTTTTGCTTCCTAGAGTCCACTATTAAACAACTTTTAGTGCAAGTATAACTTGCTATCGTGGATCTTCTGTTGAAAGTTTTAATGAGGAGGCTGTATTCAAATGCCCTTAACACTTTTTTTTTTTTAATCGCTCTAGCCAAGTTGATTACTGGTGAGCTTTTTGCCAGCACGGATACATTACATCTTGTCATACTATGCATCCATTAAATCATGGTAGCTTATTTTCTATCTGCAGACATTTTAGGCAGTAAGGCAGCAATATTCCTTTTAATTAATTCTGTATCACATATACACAAAACAGCACTGAAAAAAAAATCCTCTCTCAGTAGCCACTGAGCTTTCAAAGCCTTCCTGTCTTGTGTTGATGAATAGGACAATTTTGGAAGTTATTAATGAAAAAATACATATGACAGAAAACATGCTTGTGTCCCATCTGTAAAGATGAGAGAACTTGCTCCCTATGGGCATTCCTCTGGCACATATAAGACTCAAGGTCAAGCCTCCAGTTTGACTCTACTCCAGCAAAAACTTGGTTCATGGTCTTCCACATGCCACAGGCATTTTTGGAGCTGAGGAAACGTGCTATCCAAAGGGAGACTATTCACCACCTCTCTGCTCTTTCCACTGTCACATGGCAAGAAACTTCATCTGGATCAGAAATTGCCTATTAAAAGGACTGATTGGAACAAGCATACCGTCTGATTTTGTTTTAAGAGAGATTCCCCCCAAATTTGCCATTAGCAATGTGAGGGACAGTTGTTTTTTTGACAACAAACATATTTAGACTGGTTTGCTGTAGCTCATACATGGAGGGTTTGCTCTCCAAAGGGAAAGCAGAAGATATTTGGGACATAATATGCTCCAAATTGTCAACAGCATATTTGTTTCCAAACAATAGCTGAACATTACAAACAAAAACTATTTTGAAACTTGAGTTTGAGTTTGCCAATTATATTTTAAACAGTCAAGAGTAGTTTCTATTGCAAAACTAGAACGAGAGACGTGAGTGGAAATGAGCACTGTTGGGTGGCAGATGAAGCTCTGTTGTTACTGAAATGAAAAGTGAGAGGCATAAACTGCAAGAAGCAATCAGGGCACCCAGTAGGGGCCAAGATTTTAAACATTTGGGACTTGTCTTCCAAAACACTGATCTGGTGGAAACTTTAAGAGAATGCAGTGGGCTCTCTGCAAAAACAGGGGGAATTATTACAGGCAGGAGAATAAACTAATAGAAGAAATAATCTTGTGTGATGAAAATGATCGAGCTACTCAATTAATTCTGCCTTGAGGCACAACAAAATGAGGATAGTTGTTTTGGTTGGGTTATTTGGAGGCACCACAGTGCTCTAAGGATGCAGATTGCTATTTTGTTTAACATGATGCTGAAAAGAACTTCTCTAAGTGAAAAAAGGAGAGCCACCACATGTTCTATTCTATTAGTGTAACCTACCACATTTTTTAATTGTTAAAGTGTATTTCATAATAAATAGAGTTCTATGGCCCAGTGCACTTTCCTGAGCAAACTTATTGTTATGTACTAGAATGTTCGCTCTTTGCACAAATCAAAGTCTTATTTGGAAAGATTCTCAAAACTGAACTTTCCATTTGTGTTCATCATTGTTTATAAAAGGATGTGCCAGTGAATTTAAAATTCATCTCAATCTACAGACCTTTCCCCACACCTACCAACCACAGAGTTTCACACAGTGCAATCCATTTACACCTTTGTTATGTTAAAATCAAAGCTGAAAAATAAAGGGATATCTACAAGTGTTATCTATCTACCTCATTTACATCTCACACTGAGCTATGAATTAGAGGATTCCATTTCTCAAATGCTGAGCATTTCTACCTCTAGATCTTGTTTTGTTTTTTGTCCCCTTCTCTTCCAGTAGTTTCCTTGTCCCATCAAGCAATTTCACTTGAATATAGTCTGCAGTGGACTGTGCAGATTACCAAGCTAATGACATAAGACTTCTTAACATTGTAACACCTTTCTTCTTGCCAGTGAGAATTTTGAGTGACAGAGCAAAGCTGCTTGCTATCAATTTTGCAAAAACTTCATCTGCCACATTGCCAAGACCCGCTCTAAAGATAAAAAATCGACTAATATTCTAATTTGTTATCTGTCATTATCAGTCATACATCATTCTTTTCTACAAATGTTAACCTTTAAAAACGAAAACTTTTGACTAGAAAATATTTAGCATGCTCTCCAGACAAATGACAGAGAAGAAAACCCCAAGTTAAATCTACTACCCCATGAGAAGTTTTTAATCAAGCAAATTCTACTTACGTGGAATTTTATTCAGTTCATTCATGAACTTCTCTTTTAACTTAGAAAATGCATCTTCTTTCCCGCCGCCTCCCCCAGGACTGGCTGGCTCGGTGACATTACTCGGAGGGGCTGCTGCTACCGTGGTGGCTGGCGGTGCTGCCAGGGCCTCATGATGACTTTCACTCACCATTTTAACCCTTGCGTTAGCTGTTGGAGGCAAAAAAAACAACAAAAGAAAATGTTTAAATCATCAAAATGGTTCTCATATCAATAAAATACTAACTAGGCAGCATATCACTCGGTGCTCATGCTTTCTGGGTAAATATAACCGCATCAGCATATTGCTTCATGCTCTTCATACAATATTTATTAGACCAGAGGGAAAAGACTTTTGTAGGGTTAATTTCAGCCACAATTGTTTTATTGCTTACAGTTCTTCTCCTATAGTGCTGAATTTTAAACTGCTGAATGTCAAACCTCAAAATTCCTATAAAACTCTCATGTAGATTTACATTTGCTCTTCAGTATTGAAAGTAGGAGTAAATTGCCTGACAACTGCTCTCTATGAGCAAATTTCACATTGTATTTACAGGCTTATTTATCTATGAGAGTTACAGAAGAGCAGATCCAAAGCTGAAGTTTCTATATAAAATAAATGAAGTGATAAGGCTATAATAAAAACACTTCCAACTTTCCTGTCAAAGTAATAAAATATTGTTTCCCATTTAAGTGAGCTGTACATTAAGCAGAAATTGATTTGCATCCATTTTTATCTTCACTTATTGAAGGCAATTTTCCTTCTGGTTACTTTGCATGACATTTGCTACACACAATATTCTGTTAAATTATTCACAGGTCTCATCGGTGTATTTGTGAAGCTATGACATCTTTAGGATATCTAAATGCTGCTATATTGAAGAATCAGAAAGCCTGTCACAAAATCCCACACCAGCATATTTTGGATTTAATGTTGTTGAACGGGCATTTTGCAAAACCTTTCCTTGAACTTTCAGTATAAAGCAATGAATTTGGGGCCAGCAGGGTGAAGGTGGAGATGAGATGCACCATGCAATTTCCATATCACAAGAAGGTCAGCTGAAATGTTTACACGGTTTTGAATACGCTGTTTGATTTTCTGCTGCATCCTAAATATCTCCGATCTGAATAGTCATGCTATTTTTTTTCCAGAAAAACAAAGAGAGAAAGGAGTTTGAGAGAGAGCAAACATTCATTATTGTTCTGAGTACACAATTGCTCCCAGTCCCAAAGGAAGCTTGGCCTTCGACCTGTCAAAGCTGAGAAATCTGAACATCATCATACGAAAAAACGCTGCAAAACATCAAAATTAAAGGGGCATAAGAGCATCTGCCTGTGTACAGTGTGATGAATCAAGAGCTTTGTGGCCTTCTGTGACTGTTTACATGGATGTGGCTGAGAGTGTTCAAAACACTAAGTCAAAACGAGGGTTGGCTTTTCGTCCTTCAGCCTTCATCCCCTGAGGCTGCAGCTGGGCAGCCTGAGAGCACATACTGGGCAGAATTAACCTTTCGAAGTCATCCAGTCCATTCTTGTCATTAAAAAGGGACACATGTGAAAGTGATTTCCAGAGTAGATACCATCCTGTGGCATCCTTCACTCTATGAAAAAGATTTTTGCCGAATAGGGGACCAGCCTTGTTCTGAAGAAGCAATTTGGTGGCTGTTTTGTGGCAATTTTTTGCCGCAGCACTGAACGAAGCTGTATTCCCTGCCTGCCCGTCGCTTCTGCCTTTGCCCTTCCAGTCTCAAACCTCACATAAAATCATGTTGATGTTGACACATAATACGTACGTGCTCTAGCCCCATAAATATTTCACAAGCAGGTGGCCCTATCTGTTTGCCTGTAACAACACGGGAGTAGTTCACTGTCTAAAGCAGGCTGAAGGTGATGGAAAGATTCCAGTTAATATCCATGAACTTTGGCTCAGGTCCGATGTCTGCAAAGATTTCTCCACTTGTCTCCCACAGTAACAACAGGGAAAACCTGGACTGCATAATTTGTGGACTATGAAATAATGTGCCAGCTATTTTGGATTAGGAGACTTTTTCCATATGCTCTGATGAATGCCAAATACCATGAAGCAAAACATGCAGAGCCATCAGCTATAAACGTTAGTGTTGTTTTATATTACAGCATTTTGTCAATGAATGTCAGTTAAATCAGAAGAAAAATTGCATGATATATCATAATTAAATCAAAATTAAATTGCTTAATTATAATATATTGCTTAATTATTTCAGGCCTGGCAGTTGACTATTTTGTTTTGTAATGGAAGACACAATTTGCAGTGATGACTTTCAGCTAATTAAAAATTAAGGCAAATGTTGTAATTTATTTGCTTCCAGTTTTGGAGCTATATTTTGAAAATATATTACAAGAAGCAATTTGAGGTGTTACACTTCCATTTACTTAAAAGAAAGAAAAAACAACAGGAAGAACCCTCAGCAGATCCTTAGTGCAGCTGGAGGTCACTACATGTAATGAGGCATGCACGAATGCTTGGAGACTTGCTGCAGAGCCTTCAACCTCTACACGCCAGTGACACTGTCCTAGTAGTTTAAATAGGTGTGAAGGGACTGAAAAAGGATCTTGTCTCAGAAAAAGCTTTCTACAGGAAAGAAGTTTTGAAAGAGCACATGCCAACTCCCTCATGGAGATAACATCTAATGGCTTCTATTATTTCAATACTGCAGTATTCCACAGTAATGGTATAAACGCTGTGGTATTATTAGAGACTGTAGAGTACGGGGATAATAAGATTTAAATTGGCCTTTTATATAAAAAGGGGTTACTTTAATTCTGCAGTGCACTGCAGGTAAAATCTATAATATACTAGCAGATTATGTGCCATTTATGAAATGACAGTTGCAAATATAAGCATAAAAAATTACATGTAGGTTAAAATGAAATGGCATAGAATTCAATTATGATTTCCATTTCCATTGTTCATTATAATGATTATCCTGGTAGGTAGGAAACATTGCAGTTGCACGTGCATTTATAGTCATAAATAAGTGTAAAATTTAATTTATGTGCTTCTATATTCCTTAAGCATGCTGATTACAAAGCAGATTGAAAGCAAAGCATTGAACAGATATATGGAATGTTGGAAACTACAAATATCTGTTGTAATTTCTACACAGGAATAGGCAAGTGTTGACTAAAAAGCTGGAGATGATGGCCTTAATGCGACCAGGGAATCCCGCTCTTCCCTGTGCAAGAAAAATTCTAACAAAAATAAATATCAGCTTAATCTTCTGTGTCATTTCTTCTGAAACGGAAGCAAGGTTATCCCCCATCACACTAGCCAAGCACTACTAAGTTTTCGGATCTGAATAATATACAAATGCACTGTGGAGATTCACCAGAAGCAAGAGATTTCCTTACGGAGATACAAAGTATTGGCTGACTGCCTTTAATATTCTAGTTTGGATCGTGCCTGTAAGAGCTCTCTTGGAACCCACCACGTACGAGAGGATGAGAAGAGAGAAGGACTTTGGACATGGTTTATTACAGAGTATGAAGGTAAAATTCAGAGTGGTGTATCATCTCCTGTCAAACCTTGGGGAGATTCATTATAGAATTAAAAAAGAAAGTTTGAAAGAAAACACAGTGACTGTTTATGATTTCTTTGCAGTTAAATTACAGATGGTCTGCCAACAATTTGGTAGATTTAGCAGATTCTTAATTCCATTGACAGGAAATTGCTGCCATCCTTACCACATGGTGCTTTTCAGATAATTTAATTTTTCTTGCTCCTTCTCTTTTCACCTGAATGCAGATTGGGCAGAGTGAAAAGAGAACAGATAGGTCAGACCTCCCATGGCCAAATCATTCCCTCACTATAAGAGATTTACTGGAGAGTGTCCTTCTTGCCCCTCAGATTTTTCTACCACACTAAAAAAATTAAACAAATCAAATTATTGAAAGCTTACGGATATACTGTTTCTATGGGTAATTCAGATGTTTGCAGTGACTGCTACCATGCTTTCAATGATGAACGCTGTAACTGTTACAAAACCAGCCACTGTACCTCAATAAGCAGGAAAAATTCTAAATTTGCATCTAGGTTTTTAAACAGTATTTTCTGTACAGCTTATTCAGCATCCCAAATATGATCACCTCCACAGCTGCATCTTGCTTAGAACCTAGTCACAAAATTTATCCAAGACAAAAAGAAATATTGCCCATGTACATATCACTTGAGTTCCTGTCATTTGTGTTTACAGCTGCTGTGCACTGAGAAAGGAACTATCAGCTGGCAGTGACACTATGTTCATGGAAAGAATGCACCGTTAACAAAGAAAGGTTTCATACCACATACATAGCAAATTTACCCTATTCCATTAGAATGCTTTTAATGAAATGAATTCATCATTAAGAAGATGGGAACATTACCAGAATGTCTAAAGATATCTACAATAAGCGATCTCTTCCTAGATTTACGTATTCTGGGGTGTTAATAATACATTTTTTACTGATTCATCATCACATTAATGAAATATGCTATCTTTCGAGCTTCAGTAAGGGGCATTTATTTTAAAAGACAAGCTCAGAAAAGAGCCTTTCTTGGCCTTTTATAAAGATAGGCTTGTAACTACATTTTCAGAAGAAAGGAAGGTCATGACAAAGATGTCATATCAAAATAGCCTTTTCAGTACCAACAAGAAGCATAAAATGCAATCTGTATTTAGTATTGCTTTCAAGAAGATACAGGAAAGGCCCAACATTTCTTGTATATAAAAAAAAA